AGTGTTTTTGTAGTAACTGCTAACTGAATTAATTTGCATATGCATGGTATAAGATTTTTGTTAAGATCGTAGGTCATGCAAAAGAAACTCCTTCCGCCATTTTACACCTTTGGGGGTCTTCATATTTAAAAGTCTTCAAACACATTAAAAATAAACTGGGCTATAAAATGGATACAACATAATAATGGCTTAATTGATTATGAATATAGAATAATTTTCACATTCCTTAACATTGCATTTTATGTTTTTACTCAATAGGTCTTTTGCATATGTTTTTGAGAGTCTGAAGGCTTGACCTACCTTTCACTTCTACGCATTCCTGAATACACTGACTTGTGTTAGGGTAGAAATCACTGCTCTTTAGTATACATTAGCATCTCATATTAGGCTACATAGTTTCATAAAAATGAGCCTTCTGTACAATAAAGTATTCTAAGTTAAAACTCTTGTTGCAATATAAAATGGTGGTTGACTCAAAATTGAACATATGATTAGCAATTATATATGTTATATATATATATTATATAGCAATTATATGGTGTGTGGTGTATACCATACATATCTTATATTTTTACCTTTTGTCACAAAATACATATCAAATAGTCCAGCTTTCCCCTTCCAAGTATTCTACTTTCATTCATTTGACATTGATGGGATCAGTCATTCAATGTCTTCTATGTGCCGGGCACTTTCTAGACACTAGGAGCACAAGAGTGACCAAAATATGCCTTTGCCAAGTTGATGCCTCATCTTCTAACTGGAATGAAGCTTTTGATGAAATAATGTAATTTATTACTTTAAAAAGATTTCTCATGATCTACCACGATGACTTTAATACAGCGGGTACATAACACTAATTTAATAGGCAGCAAGATGTATTTCTCATTGTTCTTATTGAACTTTTCTCTGGCTTTTTTAGATTCATGTTTTATTTGAATAATGACTCTTGTTATCTCTCTGCTATATGTTTCCTTACTTTCTTGACCCATCTATTTCGTTTCTAATAAAGTCTTACCTCAGTATAACATTAAATTTATGCTTTTGCATGATTCTGATGCCAGAAGTGCAAAAACTGAAAAGCAGGGGAACAAATGCAGAACATTGTTTTCACATTTTTAAGGTGTTAAGTGTCTGAGCACACCATGATTCCACTTACAAAATCTCTATTTTTATTAAGTAGTCACAATTCTCACTCTGTTTTTCATTCATAATTCTGTTAAAGGCCATTCAGTCAGTAAATATTTGATGAGTTTCTAGTATATGCTGGTCAATAAAGGTATAAAGATTAAGGCATAGCCTCTATCCTCAAGAAAATCATAGTCTTAGACAAACAATAAACCGACAAATGATAAATACAATGTTAGAGACAGAGCGGTCAGGAAAAATTTACGAAGAAGTTCACGTGTGGTAAGAGTGTTTAATGGGAAGTGGAAGGTAAGCTGAGTAGAAAGGAGTGAAGATAGAGTAGCATGAGGAAAGGCAATGAGGCGATTCACAGTACTTTCTCTTTTCCCCAGAAAATTATGAACAGTTTCCTGTTGATGAAGTGTTAATGAAAAAAAAAAGTAAAGATGAAGGCAGGGCATGGAGCATCTCATATGTCATGTCAAGGAGCTTGGACTTTTCCTACAGGGGATGGGAGATCATGATCAGGTTCTAGGAAGAGAGTAGAGTCATGACATTTGTGTTCTATATCAGTCAGTATGGTGGCCATGTGATAGTATCCGTTTGAACTGAGGTCAAAAGCAGGGAGAAAAGCTGTGAGTGAACCTCAGAAGTTGAAATAAAAGACACGAAGACTCTGGACCATGGTGTTTGAAAATATAAGGAAATTGGACATATGTCTTCATATGGCTGTGGATGTTTGGTAGTGGGTAAAAATGAAAAGTGAATTTTTTCCACTGAACATCAGAGTAAATTAGTGTGTGGCAAGAGGAAGGGTAGTTAATAAAATGCACATGGTTAAGAAGATGCACTTGTTATTCTGATTTCACACTACAATGAGTATCTTCAGCACAGGGGAATGCTTCCCATTTAAGCATGAAACTTCTTAGGCTTCATTTTTACACTCACTTTTTCTGTCCGCTTTCCGTATTCCCTCAATGACATTTTACGCTGGAATCCTAACATTTTCCTGCTTCTTTGAAATATATCCTTAGTTTTATCATATCTTCCTGTCTTGATTTAGTCTTAATCTCTGATACCCTCTCTTGGTTACCTTTGTTTCCCTGCTATGGCCTCTCCCATCCTGCCTCTGAATTCCTCTGGGCCCTTGAGAACCCAGCATGGCTCCAGTGTCCTGAGCTTCTGCCTTTCAATGAAGGGGATTTGAATTTAAAGCAAATTCTGTAATCCAACAAAGAGATAAACCAAAGCACACTGATATATATTTTTTAGAAAACTATACATTATTTTGTTTCTAAAACTACAACAAAGAATGGAGTTTGAATTGTGTTTCCCAAAGCAAAACAATTTGTGAGTCTTACTTGAGGTATTTGTAAAGAAAATAAGCTAATCAACAGCAGATATTTAATTGCTTTACTGACAAACTCTTAATTGATAGTTTAAGGCTCAAAAAAAAATACAAATAACTTTTAGGGGATGCAGAAGCTTGGGAATGGTTATAAATGGTAAAGATATTAGTTGCAATGAAAATATTTATTGAGCATTTGATATATGCTACATGCACTAGAGATTTCAAGAGAAATTTAAAATATAGATAAGCCTTTGGTCTTAAGGAACTTTCAAGACCAAAGTGGAGAAAACAAATGTGAAGCAATAATGATAACATAGACAGAATGGATAAGGAGCCCACAAGAGCTGTAGACTCAGTGCATTAGGGGGTCAAAGAAAAGAAGGATCGGGGCGCCTGGGTGGCGCAGTCGGTTAAGCGTCCGACTTCAGCCAGGTCATGATCTCGCGGTCCGTGAGTTCGAGCCCCGCGTCAGGCTCTGGGCTGATGGCTCGGAGCCTGGAGCCTGTTTCCGATTCTGTGTCTCCCTCTCTCTCTGCCCCTCCCCCGTTCATGCTCTGTCTCTCTCTGTACCAAAAATAAATAAACGTTGAAAAAAAAAAAGTTTAAAAAAAAAAAAAGAAAAGAAAAGAAGGATCAAATCTAGCATGGAAAATCAAAAACAAGTTATGAATAAAGAAATATTATTTGAACTAGATTTTGCTAACAGATGAGAGACATTTCTGAAAACCATATGAAGCAAAGTGAGAAATTATAATTGATTTTTGCAAAACAGCAAGTTGCACAGTTTGGCTGTAGGCCACTCTGGAACATGTGGAGCAGCAGGGAAAGTAAAGCTGGAAATTTAGCTGGGACCAGAGCACAGAAGGGCTGGAATACGAGTCTAGGGAGACTAAATTGGATTTAATTTTGTATGTAAAGAGAGAAAGTTTCTCAGGAGAGAAATGAGTAGCTCATCCTCATTAAAAAAAAAAAAAAAAAAAAAAAAAAAAAAAAAAAAAAAAAAAAAAGATTAATCTAGCAGCAATGTTTTAAGTGGCAGTTAGAGAAGACAGCCCAGAGACTGGAAGGCAAAGTAAGAAGACAGTGCCAACTGTCCATGTGAGAGGACTAAGGTTAGGGCCAAGGCACTGGGGAAGGCAACAAGGGCACAGTGGGAGGTACTGCTACAGTGCACTGATGGCATTTGGTGACTGGATGTGCAGAGCAGAGAAAGTTTCCAAAAAGACTATAATTTTACATTCCAATTGACTTGAGAGAACGACTAAAACATTTACTGAAACACTTCAAAAGAAAAATGGTTTAGTCATGATAGATAACGACTATATTACATAGCTTATTATATATACCATGTAGATTTAAGAAAACAGCATATTGGCAAGAACTTGGAGCTCATAATTTACAGAAGTAAGGTACAAGAAGACATAAATTTAAAAAGAACAGATTAAGATATGCAAAATGAGAAGCCAATGGCTTATTCATGGTTCAGTGTTAAGGAAGTCTAAAAAAGAGATTCAGGATGTGTGTTTTGTTAACACTTTAAAAAGTACCACCAAGGGCTCAAAGGCAAAGGCTTTGATGAGTAACAGGTTTCTGATAACTTGCAAGGAAACAACTTTGGTAAAGGAGTGCAGATCAAACCACAGTGTAATGATTACACAGCTATCTTTTGAGAAGGTTGGTAGTAAAAGAAAGAAGGGAAAGAAAAGCACTATAAGAAATATGAACAATTATGTGAATATTCTTTTGATCAGGAGTGACCTGAATATTCAAGTGGGCAGACAGAAGACTTCTGGGGAGGTATGGAAAGAAGATGCAAGGCAAACAGGGGATTATTGACATTCAAGTGTTTTTGTTTTTTTTTTAAGTGTGTCTATTTTGAGAGAGACAGTATGAGCGGGGGAGGGACAGAGAGAGAGGGAGGGAGAGAGAATTCCAAGTAGGCTCCTTGCTGTCTCCATGCCGTCAGCACAGAGCCCAATGAGGGGCTCAAACTCACGAAATCATGAGATCAAGACCTGAGCCAAATCCAAGAGTTGGATGCTTAACCAACTGAACCACCCACGCACCATGACATTGAAGTGTTTTAATGAGGAAATAGGAAATGAATTACTTGCAACAGGTCAGGTTCGTCTATAATCAGAGTCTAAGGAATAAACAGGTAAAATGAACATGGAAGGAGAATAGAAATCAAAAAAAAGATAAAGAAACAGTTCAGTTAGCAAGAGATGACAGAGTGTAAGGTTGAAAAGATATAGATAATGAGGACACACGAAAGAATTTTTATGACTAGGGATACAGAAAATAATACCGTTCTGACAGTCATAATTAGAAGAAAAATGTTCCAGTACTTTTTTTTTGAACAATCGAATCTGTATATGAGAGAACATATGGGAGAAGAAAAGCAAAGCAATGGGTTCTGATTCCTCTCCTGAGTAGTGTCATAACATGGACTTGAAGATTTGTCATGAAAAGAGAAAATAAACCATGACCACGTACCATGGATATCGAGGACGAGAAATCTTACCTCTCTCAGAGGATCGTTGAGTTCATTGAGAATGTTTTCCTCATCAAAGATTTTGCCTTGGTATCTGTGTTCATAATAATCGTGTATCTTCTGACGCATATCAGCTGGTAACTTATGGAAGGACATGTATTGTTCCACTTGCTTATACTGTAAGGAATGGAAAATGGAAATTAGAAAACATCGTTATGCTGCATGAAAAATTATCGTTACTTCGTCATGCTCAATATTCAATAACATTTGAATAACAGTAACAAAAAGAAGAAATCTTTTAAGGGGAAGGAACTAATGTACTAGGCTATAATGTACCTACCCTGTGTGACATGCTATGCAAGGAATTTATTAGGTAAACATTTCCTGTAAAGAACTGAGATGTTGTTGAGGGGCAGGAAAGGAGCTCTGAGTGAATTTAAGGGTGTCATCCCAGAAAAGTCAGTGATGGGGCAAGAAAAAAAGTGATGTTATTTTCTCGGAATCTTTGTTCAGCTGAGTTCTAAAAAAAGTATCAGGTTGAGGTTTGGTGCCTCATCTGGATAGAATCTCCTAAGTTTGGGTAGTACAAAGGTTCTATCTTAGACCTTATAGCAAAAGATCAGACCTAGTTAAAATTTGAATTTCGTGACAGAGAGCTTGGCAGCTGTTTGTAAGTCATTGATACTCAAGCAACACAGATGCCCTGTAGAGTAAGAGAATATGTCACACTTTAATTTAGGACTTTAGAGACTATCAGGGTGAGACTAGATCCAGATAATTTTACAGCTGAAAGTGAACTCAGACATTTAAGTTCATTTAACCAAGAAGTTCTTAAACTTGATTGTTTATAACACTTGGGGTGAGGTTGCCTTTTGGGATTACAGATTTTTCAGGCTTAACTCCAGAGATTGATTCCCTCAAGTATTCGCTTTTGTGAATTTACACACACTCATACATACACATATACACTTTGAAAATAAATCCCTGCTATTCAAACAAGAGCATAGATATTACCTAGGAACTTATTAGAAGAGAATTTCAGGCTTTACCCCAGACCTTTGAAATCAGAGTCTACATCTTAAAAAAAAGATCATCAGATGACTTATACACATTTAAGTTTGAGAAACATTCCCTTGGGACACCTGGGCGTCTCAGTTGGTTAAGCGTCTGACCTTCAACTCAGGTCATGATCTCGCGGCTCTTGAGTTCAAGCCCTGCATCAGTCTCTGTGCTAACAGCTCAGAGCCTCGAGCCTGCTTTGGATTCTTTGTCTCACTCTCTCTCTGTCCCTCTTACGCTCGTACTCTGGTTCTCTCTCTCTCTCTCAAAAACAAATAAACGTTAAAAAATTAAAAAAAGAGAAACATTCCCGTGATGTTGCAAATACGGATGGTCATGAGACCACGCTTTGAAAAAATTAATTAAAGCCCCCAAACTAGTCTCATTGCATAGATGATAAAATGAATACAAATAAAAAAGTATGCAATAAAACTGGATAAATATACTGGAAAAGGACTCTTCCCTTAAACAAAATACATTTGATGTGTTTTGGAGAACACATGGATATTTTCTTCTCACATCTTTTCCTGATGAAATAGCTCTGACTAGAAGATATAGCTCTCCCAACTGTTTGTCCACAATTAGTGTAGTAATTCGTACATGATAAAACATATATCTAATCAGAGACAGCAACCTATTACATTTCTTTAAGTTTGTGTACATAATTTCCTTTCACATAACATTCCTAGTTTTTAGACTTCCCTTTTGAGATTAGTATTTTTAAAGGAAATACAACTTTGTCATGAGACTTCCTTTATTTGGTCACCAGGCTGTCCCCCAAGTATTTAAAGCCTGCAGGCCTATATATATCTCTTTCTCTCTGTCTGAAGCAACTTGATTATGATTTAGGCATTTTAAATTCAGGCACCAATTCTGTCACTGTCATAGTGTGTACGTAGCTTCTAGTATGTACTTGAGAAGGATTGCTTAATTTTTCCTGAAGAGCTCAAAATCTGTATGCCTATTTAACCTTGGTAACCCGCTTGGAGAGACCTAGGATTCAGTCTATTTGTAACTCATGAGATAGTCCATTAGAAAGAAGCTTCAGTGACCTCTATAAGACTACTGTGTAGGATAAAGTTGATTTGCAGCTGGACTCAAAAAGCTCTATCATTATTTCTAGAGACATCTGTATATCTGATTTTTACTTTTACCCAAAAAGAGGGCAGTGGGATATCTGATGTATTGTTTAGGGTCTAAGGCTCCTCTGGAAACCCCCAAGTTTAACTTTTGCACTAATGATTTGCAACTAGCTGATCTGGTTTGCTTATTCTGGCTTGACTATTTAAAAAGCCATTGATGGCTTGGTTGCTGACCTCCCCCACAAACCAAGCCTCCTTGCACAGATTTTGGTGGATCAAGCCAGAAACTCAGCATGTTCCACATGCCCAAAGATGGGGTATTTTAAAAGGAAATACTCATGCTGCGGAAAGGCTCTTCAGCTTCTCTTGCTTGTCTGCATTCTTTCTCTGAAGCACTGTATCATTTGCCTTTAAATAAATAAATAAAATAAAAGTCTGGTGGATCCTGTTAAATATTCAAACTTGGTAAAACAATAAAACAGCTTAAGACGACAGGACTGCCACAGTTTTTCTTATTGCATTGATGCAAATCTTTCAGTTCTGGACAAATAAAGGATTCAACTTTCTTCAGGACCAGTAGTGGTCAAATAATCTCTGCTTACTTTTCTCAACAAACTGTCCAAACTGGTTGGACTGGTAAGAATCTTTAACCTTAACCAGGATACTAAACTCTAGATTTCTCTGTTCTTTGCATGCATCTCAGGGGGTATGGGAGACAGCATTAAAAGTTAGTAGCATTTTATTCATTTTTAAGAAATCTGTGACTATGTGTAAGGGCCTACTCATTTAGAAAACAAATAATGTGTTCAATGTCTATCTCTGGAGTTGGAAAACTAATCCTTGATTAGCTAATTATAAATGTTACACGTAAAATTATTTTATTTTTATGGAAAGTCAGGATTGATTGAATATAGTTATTTTGCCTCATAAAAATCATTTAATCACTTTAGACTTTGACCAATCTACAGTAAGAATCTTATACCACATGATCTTTGTTCTTTCAGACTAAAGTTCTATAAGTATTTCTTGTCATTTAATCATACTGAGTTCAATTTGATTTGACCCATATTACATATTTTAAACATTAATTGATTTATAGTAATTACTGATCTAACAGATACTAACGGATTGCTGTGTGCCAATGGTTCTCAAGGTACAGTTGATAAAACACCAGTATCACTGGGGAACTTGTTAGAAATGCATGGTTGAAGTTTTCACCCCAGATCTACTAAATCAGAAACTCTGAATTAGAAATTCTAGGGGCGCCTGGGTGGCGCAGTCGGTTAAGCGTCCGACTTCAGCTAGGTCACGATCTCGCGGTCCGTGAGTTCGAGCCCCGCGTCGGGCTCTGGGCTGATGGCTCAGAGCCTGGAGCCTGTTTCCGATTCTGTGTCTCCCTCTCTCTCTGCCCCTCCCCTGTTCATGCTCTGTCTCTCTCTGTCCCAAAAATAAATAAAAAAACGTTGAAAAAAAAATTTAATAAAAAAAGAAATTCTAGCAGTCTGTGTTTTAACAAGCCTTCCCTACACTAAAATATCAGAACCACTTCTATATGCTAAGTAGTGAGTTAATTTGGGACATAAAGAAGCACGTTTGAGTGAGAGTAGGGGATAGAAAGGAAATCCAGTTTTGACAAGTTAACTTTAAGATGTCCATGGCACATCCTAATGCTTATATGTAGGTCAGGCACTTAAAAGAAAAGATACACACATAATCAATGATTAAGAGATCACTGAGGGAGAATGTGTCAAATAAAAGGATTTTTTAAAGTGGAACCTACGTTTTAAAAGCAGTTGCATCATGGAAATTGATCAAGTTAAGGGAACTGAGATTAGCCAGCGAAATGTGACAGAACCAAAAAACTTGACTCACAGCAAAGAAGGATAAAATTCAAGGGAAAGATAGGGTGCTCAAAAGGAGTATTTCTAAGAAAAGAGGTATTGAACCATAACCACTGAATTTGGGAATTGGGTAATGATCTTTGGTAGAATACAACACTTATTGAAAACGGGGACAATTTATTTTTGTCTTTTTCCCTCATACCTAACAGGACTTGCAAAAATGAATGAAAATATGATGTATGTGCGATGTGAAGAATAAAAATAATAAACTACTCATTGAAAAAGACACCTAGTAGTGGGTGGATAATGGAAAAAACGTAGAAGAGAGCAAAGTTGAAAAAAAGATAAAATGGAAAGGATTCTGTTACTTGTAGTACTATACTGTATGCAAAAGATAACTTGATACATTTGATAGTCACTGATGAAGAGATTTTTGAAAAACAAAGATGTGAATACAATTCTTTCTTGAATATATAAAGCCAAAAGCTCAAACTGTCAGATCTAAAGAAACTACAGCATTACCATTTAAAATTCTAATGTGTTTTATTTTCAAAATCTTCTGTGCAATTAAAATAGTACATAAAAATAATGTGTGAATATGATACTAAAATGAGATCTAATAGAGTGTTTATAATGAAGGCAACATTCCATTATTAAACTCATTCCTCCCATGTTACCACTTTTATAACTTTTATTTTTTTATTGTTGAGAGAGAGAGAGATGGAGGAGTGCACAGGGAAAAGCACAAGGAAAACACTTCCCAAAGCCATTGACTGGGAAAATAAGAGAGACTGATTTTTGAGAGTTTTTACAACCACGGGACTCAAAGACTGGAATTTGAGAGGTCCATAACATGGGTGGTATGGAGCCTGGGAGGTGCTGCAGTGCTCCTGTGGAGGAGGGCTGATAGCCCAGGGGCAGACAGCATAATCTGAGAATCCCCTGGGACATACTGAGAGAGATGGTTCCCTCTCTTGAAGCACATCTGCAAGGTGGCATTTCCTCTCTGGATACAAAAGAGCTTGCAGGCACCATTTCCCTCCCCCAACCCTCAGCATAAACTAACTTCAGTAAGCAGCACAGTGCCAACACCAAAAGCCTAAACCACTTACACCAAGCCCCACCTCCTGCCCTCTGCAGATGCTGCATTTCATTGGGAAGTGTGCCTGAGAACCAGGGAAGCAGGTCCCTCCCC